CACACCTGTAATCCCAGCACTTTGGGAGGCCGAGGCGGGCAGATCACACAGTCAGGAGATCGAGACCATCCTGGCTAACATGGTGAAAACCTGTCTCTACTAAAAAAATACAAAAAAATTAGCCAGGCACGGTGGCGGGCACCTGTAGTCCCAGCTACTTGGGAGGCTGAGGTAGGAGAATGGCGTGAACCTGGGAGGCGGAGGTTGCAGTGAGCTGAGATCGTGCCATTGCGCTCCAGCCTAGTCATGAGAGGGAGACTCCATCTCAAAAAAAAAGAAAACAGAAAGAGAGAGAGAGAAAGAGAGAAAGAGAGAGAGAGAGAAAGAGAGAGAGAAAGAGAGAGAGAAAGAAAGAAAGGAAGAAAGAAAGAAAGAGAAAGAAAGAAAGAAAAAGAAAGAAAGAAAGAAAGAAAGAAAGAAAGAAAGAAAGAAAGAAAGAAAGAAAGAAAACGTTTATATAGTGCTACATGCCAGACACTGTTCTAAGCACCTTACATTATTAGCTTATGTAATCCTCACAACAGCCCTATTTAGTAGCTGCTTTGAATATCCCCCATTTTACAGATGAGGTGATGATAAACTACTGGGAAGTTAAGTCATTTGTCCAAGGCCACGAAGGTCATAAAAGTAGCAGTTGGGACACAAACCCAGGCAGTCTGGCTCCCAAGTGCATATTCTAGAGAGTCACTGTGCCCAGGCTGTTCTGAAGGTCATCAGTTGAAGACTGAATTGGGGAAGAATCCAGTTCCCTTGCAGACCTGAGTCACCCTTTGCCCAGGGATCTTTACCCTGGCTCTTTTGCAAAGCCTTCTTCCTGTTCTGCTTGAGCTCTAGAGCCCCTACGCTCCAGGGAGGCAGCCCTTCCTGCCAATTGCTGTCTACAGTACAACCCCTTCCCACCTCTCCCATCCCACACTCACCTTAAAACCCATCGGGCGGAGCTTACATGCTATTTCTGCATCATGCAGTGCGTTCTCATGAGACTCCAAGGTGAAATAAATCTGAGACCGATTGCTATAAAGCAAGTGGTCATTCGGGGCTGCGAAAATAAGAAAGAAAAACCCTTATTAACAGCCCCCAGTGCAAGCAGGTGTTAAGTCCTGTATGAGTATGGATCTTGAGAAATGACAAGTTTTCTAGGACTTTTCTACTGGAGATCAAAAGGGTTAGGCTCTATTTCCAGTCCTAATATTGTCCTGCTTTCTACACCCCCAGCCAGTCTGGGCCTGAGGTTCCCCAGCTGCAAAGTCATTTTTGCCCCCGCTCACAAGCAGTTCATTAGAGGCCCCGTGGTGTCAGTGATGCATTAGACACTTTGACATAGATGAGATGTGGCTACACACAGCTAGGGCCTGGCAGCCTGGTTTATGAGTACAGTATTACCAACAAGAAAACAGGCCAGGTAGGAAGGAGAGAGAGGTGGGCAGATGTGACCCCTATCTGAACCACCAAGAAGACAAATCCAAGTTAGTTTTCCAGGTGGCAATGACTGATGACATTAACAACATCTTAGTCTACAAAGCCCAGCACATATGAAGATTCCCTGAAGAAAATGGAAATACATTTACATGGTCCCATCCTCTCATTTCACATGGTCAAATGTAAATGAACTTGGACAAGGTTTCTGGGAATAAGGTGAGGCTGGCTCTCACCAAAAACTCCGAATTACTAGATGTCAGAGCTGGACAGGCTATTAGAGATTAGCTGGCTCAATCAACCCATTCTTCAGATGGGGAAAATCAAGCCCAGAGAAGGGAAGGCATCTTCTCAAGGTCACACAGCTAGCTGGGCAGTCACTGATAACTGGTCAGACTTCGAAGCTTTTTTTTTTTTTTTTTTTTTGAGGCGGAGTCTTCACTCTGTCGCCCAAGCTGGAGTGCAGTGGCACCATCTCGGCTCACTGCAAGCTCCGCCTCCCGGGTTCGCGCCATTCTCCTGCCTCAGCCTCCCGAATAGCTGGGACTACAGGCGCCCGCCACCGCGCCCGGCTAATTTTTTGTATTTTAGTAGAGACGGGGTTTCACCGTGTTAGCCAGGATGGTCTCGATCTCCTGACCTCGTGATCCGCCCGCCTCGGCCTCCCAAAGTGCAGGGATTACAGGCGTGAGCCACCGTGCCCGGCCCAGACTTCGAAGCTTTGAAGCTGGGATGTGGGGAGCAGGTAGGTTCCTTTTACTGAAGGTGTGTACAGTACTTGGAATAATGCGGACACAATGGCCATCTTCCAGAACAGAGAGCCTCCTTTCCTCTTAGAAGGGTAAAGCTGGCCTTGACATTTTCACCCTGACTTCTCTAAGGGGATTAACAAAGATGCAAGGAAGAACCTCCAGGGGAATGTGGTGGCAATAGGAGGGTGAGGGCAGGAAGGGGCTTTCCTGGCCCTTGCAGGGTGGCTAAGAGGTATGAAACCTGCCTTAGAGATCTGGAGTTAAGTGGCCTCCACCTGCCTCATTCATATTGCCCTGCTCTTCCCCAAGATCTGGGCTCTAGCTTCCTCTGTGGCAACAGGCTTTGATGGTTTTTCCCCCAGGGGTGTGCTGAGGGCTTGCTTGGGTGCCCATTACTTGCTCTTAAAGACATTAGCAAATTGTTTACAGTCTTTTCTGTCTTTTCTCTACTGCAGCACACACTCCAGCCTGATGGCAGCTCACAGTCCGCCTTGCTTGTGCACAGACAGGAGCTAGAGGGGTCCCCTTCTCTAGCTGCCAGCTTTGCCCTGTCAGTCCTCATTCCTGCTCCTCCTCTCCCCATTACCTGTTGCAAGCTTGAGTGGAGATTCAACACGTGGAGACTCCGGCCCACACCCCTCTTCCACTCCAGAGTCAGGTCCAGGACACCCTCGGATCCCAGGGCCCTGCCTGCCCAGCCCTGCTGCCTCCTCCCCGGCATGCTTCGCCAGACACCACGCCCCGCGACCGAGCTCCTGGCAGACTGCCCGAGCTGGGCAACACCGGCTGGCGGCTCAGCTGCCACTTCCTGGGTCCAGGCACGGTGGCTCGGAGAGAGCGTCTCCCTGGTGAAATTCGGGTGCCCTAGTCTAGCTGGAGATGTGGGGCTGCCCACGTTGCCCTTGAAGCTGCAAAGCCCACCCAACCCTCCCAGGTGGCACTGGAAAGCGGGACAGAGGCGTGACCCATTCGTAGCCAGCCCACGGTCCCCGGGGATCCCCAAGCAGTTGCCAGGCCCGGCCTCCCGCCGGGCTGGCCAGGTTAAAGGGGTTCAAGGCGAGGGCACAGGCTACGGGTTGGCGGGGCGGGCGGGGAGGGGGGACATCTATTTCAGCCGAGGATCGTGTGATAGGAAGCGGTGACAATGAGTCACAGGGCAGCGGGGCGCAAGCGCTCCCCCTCCCCCCGCACACGCTCGTGGGATGGTTTCCGAAGCGAGCGTGGTGGCCCACTTCAGTTACCTCAGCGGTTACACAATCCCGCCCGCTCGTGCGGGGGAGGGGCGCCCGACCCGGGCCGCTCGCGGCCCTTATGCAACCAGTGCTCTCCTGACCTAATTCCACGCCGGACCCACCCCACAGGGAGCCGCGGCCCCGGAAGGGGCAACACCCGGTGGCGCGAGCGGTGGACGCAGGCGCCGACCGGACATCTCGGGCTGGCTACAGCCCGGAGGACCGGGCGCGAGTGCGAGGAGCGCGCGAAGTTCCTCTCCTCGCTGGGAAGGTGCGAGCAGGTGTAAGAGGAGGCCAGGAGTGCAGCGGGAGAAGGAGAGTCAGAAAAACAGAGACAGTGACACCGAGGAAGAAGCAGTGACAAAGATGCAAAGAGACGGAGAAAAAGAACCAAAAGCAAAGAATGGGGACTGAGAAACAGGAACACAAAAGCTAACAAAAGTAGCAGGAAAAGACAAAAAGCCACGGAGATCAACACAAACACAGTGAAAGACAGCTAAAGCAGTGAAAACAGGACAAACTCAGAGACCCAGTCCCAGAACCACCCCTCCCCCACCCCGGCCACAGTCCATGGGTCCCCCGCCCCCTTTTCTGCCCTGGTCCAAATCCCATCTCGCTAGGGGGTTTGTTCTCCCGCTTCCTCGTGTAGCCACCGAGCCCCAGCCCCGGCCCGGCAGCGCGTTGAACTCACCCAACTTAACTGCCTCGTTGTACTTGAGCAGCGCCGCCTCCACCTGGCGCTCGCGGTACAGCCGGTTGCCCTCGTGCCGGAGTTGCGACGCCCGCGCCGGGCCTGGGAACAACTTGCCGAGGAGGCCGCTGAGCACCACGTTGACTCGCAGCGGCGGCGGCGGCTGCTGCCCAGCCCGCCGGGATCCACGCGCCCGCCCAGTGGCCACCATCAACGCAGAGAGCTTGACCCCGCACAGCGCACAGCGCCGGTCGGCGGCCCGCCCACGTTCCAGGCACAGTTTACAAAAGGTGTGGCCACACGACAAGGACACGGGGTCTGATAGAAACCCATGACATTTCCGGCACTTAAAGCCGTCCCACACCTCGGTGGCCGCCGCGGCTGCGGCGGCCCCAATCTCTTCCGCCGCCACGGCGCCGCTTGCAGTGCTACCCTCGCCCGGGGGCGCTGGCGCCAGCACCTCGCCTTGCGGGACTTTCTCCGCCAGGCAGCGCACCAGCTGCTCCAGCTGCTCAGCCACCAGCTGCTGCCGCTCGGAGAGCTGTCTATACACCTCGAGGGCTTCCCGGATTCTCCCCCGGGACGCCAAGGCGTCTGCCTGCGTGAGCAGGACTTTGCTCTCCGGCGTTGAGGTTCCCGGAGACTGCTCTTGCTCTGGCTCCCGCGTCGGTAGAGGTGCCGGGCTCTCTGCAGCCGCCTCTCGGTGGGGGCCCATGTCTACTTGGGCCGCTGATGCCCCTCGCTCCGCCGGCTCCAAGTTGTTGCTGCTGACCTCGGCGGGCAAGCTCAGCATCTGTTCGGTCCGTAAGGACTCCATAGGAAGAGGGACACGGGAGGGGAAGAGGCGTCTAGGGACTGGGGACACGAAGCAAAGAGTGGCAGCTGGAGGAAATCGGGGCAGCCACCGCCGCCGTGCCACCGAGCTCCAGACCCTGCCGCGCCTCCGAGAGCTCCATGCCGGGCGCCCCGCGCCGCCTAATAACTGTCTTGTCTCAGCAAAGTGTTATATAAAACGGTACCACGTGACCTGCCGCCACGCTGCTCATTGGCCGGCGGCGGGGAAATTGTTACAAAACCAGACAGTTTTGTAACAGTGTTGGTCTTGCTTCTTTGGGCTTCGCTTTTCTTGCCTTCTTTTTGAGGTTGTTTGTGTTTACACGTCGCCTTATTCCTCCTCGCCACCTGGTTCTTTTTCGGAAGTGGAGTTGGGGGATGGGGAGAAACTCAGTGTCTTGGGCTTCTCAGTCTCCAAACCCCACCCCATCCCACGTCCAAACGGGCCAGCAAACAGGTCCCCTCTGCCAGCCGCTGACCAGTGGCCCCCTACTCCTCCTAGGAGAGGCTGGTACCTCGAGGTGCACAGTCCGCGGGGTCTTCCGGGACGCCTAAGGCTTTCCCTTCGGGGGAGATGGCTGCTGTCAGGGAAAGGAAGCAGGTTGGGAGGGGTATCCATGAAGCCCTCCCGCCCCCTCCCCAACACACACACACAACCCAGCTCCAGCCCGAGAGCCCTGGGAGCCCCGCCTGGGTTTCTTGCCTTCTCTCAGGAGCCTCACAAACGTGGTAAATGCGGTTTCTGAGGGTGCTTGGTCTTCCGTGCCAAGAGCGACTCAGAGCAGCGGGTCCCACCGGCGCAGAAGTTGGGCAGCGCTCGCTGGACAGTGAGGAACTCGCAGAGAAGATGCACTTGCCAGCTCAGCCCTGGGAGGGAGATGCCCCGCCAACTCCCCTCCTTACCTCTCTCCCCTCAACGCCAGAACTAGCGCTGGGGCGGGCGGCGGGCGCCCAGCTGGAGACATACCAGGCCCGCCCCTGGAGCCACTGGCCGGATGCGCGCGGCCGGGAGTACCCGGCCTGCTGGGGTCGGTGGGTACTCTGGGGGCGTGCGAGAGTGGCAGGCGGAAGACGCTAACTGAGAGCGCTGCTCAGGAGAAAGTCCGCGAATCCTGGCACAGCCCAGTGACTGACTGAATAGCCTCCAGGTTTGTCGCTCCTGAGCGCTGCGCGGGAGGGGTACAACTGGGCGTGAGCCTCAGTGCCTGGTTTACAATGGCTAGGGGGCCTCGACGGTGTCCCACACACTTCCTGAAGGCGAGCAGGGTGGCCAACTGCACACTCTTTGCCTCCCTTGAATCCCCACATTTAGGATGGGAACTAAGCTCACAAATGAGCCGACAGAAAACGGTATGGTCGCACTGCTCCAAGCAGGGAGGCAGCGACTAGGCTTGCCGCTGGCTCAGTTGGCCTTCAGAGCCTGCAGGCTCTTGGGCAGTGCCAGGGTGCCGCCCCAGGGGCCTGAAGACCTATTGTTGCCTCCTGCTGCAGCCATCTCTTAGCTGGATGACCTTGGAGAAGCCAAACTTTGGAATCCATCATTTTTCCTTCTGAACAAATGTCAGAGCTTATCTTACTTGGGATTAAGTCATGTTTCAGAGCTGGGTTATGGCAGGCCCCCTCAGAGCTCTGCTTCTCTTTAAGTAGTTAAACCAGCCTTAGATCAACACCAAGGTCCCAGAGAACAGGTACTATGCAGCTAGCTGTAGAGCCTCTCTCTAATAAGACAGGACAGGGGGAGAGGGTCACAGGGCAGAAAGGAAGCATCATATAGGGGAAAAAAGATACACACACAGAAGAAGGAGAAGGAGAAGAAGAAGGAGGGAGAGGGAGAGGGAGAGGAAGAAGAAGAAATAGAGAAACTAGTTGTAGCCAGGAAAGCATGAGGAACACATTGGAAAAATTGGCTTGAAGCCTTGGATCTGTCACATATTTGCTATGAAACCTTAGGTGGGTTCTCCAAACCTTAGTTTCTCTTAATCTCCAAGGTTCCCTCCAGCTCTAACCTTGAGTGGCTTTCATCCTAAGACCAAATTTCGTGTTACTTAAGTAAAAATGACTAGTACTCAGTTACTTAAGTACAAATGACTAGTCCAAATGCTGTAGATGGTGGCTTTAACGGGGGTTGAGGGGATAGGAAGTCAATGGAAGGCTGTCCATTTAGTCGGGTCAGACCTGAGCTTGATTTTTTTTTTTTTTAGACGGAGTTTCATTATTGTTGCCCAGGCTGGAGTACAATGGCACGATCTCAGCTCACCGCAACCTTCGCCTCCTGGGTTCAAGGGACTCCCCTGCCTCAGCGTCCCAAGTAGCTGGGATTACAGGCATGCGACACCACACCTAGCTAATGTTTTTGTATTTTTAGTAGAGACGGGGTTTCTCCATGTTGGTCAGGCTTGTCTTGAACTCAGGTCCCGACCTCAGGTGATCCGCCCACCTCGGCCTCCCAAAGTGCTAGGATTACAGGTGTGAGCCACCACGCCCAGCCCCTGAGCTAAATTTTTAAGATGTAGAAGTTGGAGGACTGGCTAAGAGGCGGAGGAGGTGGCCGTGCCACACAGTAGGGGAGAAGTTGGGGTTCCTGGTGACTTGCTATCTAATTGAGGGGAGCTCTTTTCACCTCTCAGTTTCCCCTACTATCAAATGAGATCCCCAGCACTAATTATCTGCCTGCCCCTTCAGGCACCTGTGAAGGACACTCGATGGGGAAGGTAGAGATTCATGAGATAGATAATGATGAAACCATCTTAATTAAAGAGCTTTACCCCTTTGACATATCTAAAAAATATACATATGTCTGTTACCCAAAATTGTTTCCTAGATACAAATCTGGGATGTGCTTTGCTCCGTGGACGACCTTGACAAGGGAATATCTCCTGGGTTGATTCCCCTCCCTTGCCCTGTTATGGTAGGGAGGCTAGGAGAGGGCCAGGTCAGGTAGAGAGTCACAGTCTTGCAGGCATGGAGAAGAGAAGCTCTCTCTGGGCAGGCCCTCTTGGCTGCCGGTGCACAAGGTTGACCGTGAACTTGGTTAGGAATGTTAATAGCGTTCTGGATAATGCAAGGTACTCTGGTGTAAATGGCAGTACCAGCTACTCACTGACCAGACTCCACAGGGAATTTTACATTGTAATCAAGACTGCCCGTAGGACAACACCAAGTGGGTTTCTATTGAATGCTGAAAAACATTATCACAGTGGTTTTCTTTCTTTCTTTAAGTTAAACAAATATTACCATTATATTGATATACATTTGTGAACCAATTCAGAAGTCTCCTTCTTAGAACTTCCTTCCCTCTGCTCTTACTAATTGGAGACTCCCTGGAATGAGGGGAAGGGGGAGATTAACACCATCTTTTTCAGGTGCACATATTCCCTTTGGAGTGTCAGATTCTCTAAACCTCCATTTATTTTGCTAGGCTCACCTTGTGGCTGAGGTTAACCAAGAAGAGAGAGCAAGGATTGAGCTGCTCCTCATTTTCAACTAGTAGTTTCCCAACTGGGCTCTTAAGAATCTCTCTGGGGCTCAGAGGAGACAAGCAGGCAGGCTTTGATCCTAGCTCCCTTCAAGCAGGGCAGTATTGTATCCATCTGTTTCACAAAAGTGAGCCTCCAGGTATGATTTCATTGAAGAAAAACTGTCCCTTACAATATCAAGTTTGAAAACCATAGCAATTTTTACACGTTTACATGTATTTGTTGGGCATCTTCCACATACCAAGGACTGTTCTAGATACTGGAGACACATCAAAGCAGCAGCCGGGTGTGGAGCCTCATGCCTGTAATCCCAGCACGTTGGGAGGCTGAGGCGGGTGGATCACTTGAGGTCAGGAGTTCGAGACCAGCCTGGCCAACATGGTGAAACCCCGTCTCTACTAAAAATAAAAAAATTAGCAGGGCATCATGGTGCACGCCTGTAATCCCAGCTACTTGGGAGGCTGAGGCAGGAGAATCGTTTGAACCCAGGAAGCAGTGAACCCAGGTTGAGGCAGGAGAAGCATTTGAACCCAGGTTGCAGTGAGCCAAGATCACACCACTGCACTCCAGCCTGGGTGAAAAAGAAAAGCAGCGCATAACTCCCAGGCGCTCCTTCACATATGATAGTGCATCTTTCCCCACATACACACATCCTCGTACTGGCTTCCTATGTAGGCTAGAAGCTTCAGAGGGCAAGGACTAGTATATCTCCTCCAGTGACATAAGCAGGACAGTGCTTGAACAGATCTTACTGAACATGCCAGTGAACATTCTGGCCCTAGGAGTGTGCAGAGGGACAAGAGGAAACAGTTGGAATGCCATGCACTGTGGTCATTCACAAAGCAGAGACTGGGCACACAAATAACAAATGGTTGACAGTCTTGTACTTGGAAAGGACTGCTGAGCAACTCTGGGAGGAAAGAGTCCATTCAAAGCCAGAGACCTGTGGTAAGGTGTAAGCAACCCCGTGCACACATACACATGCACACACTCTATGCCTGGAAGCTTGGCCAAAGCATGCATTTGTTCTGTATTTGATAGTCTCATTTTATAAACTGGGGTGACCCATAAATCTGCAGTCCTTACAGGGGGAAAAAAAGGAACCATGAACATTAATGGTATCGATATGGAAAGCAAGACCTCCCCTTGCTATACAGAATAGCCAAAATTCACAACTGAAAGAAAGTTTAGCCGGGCATGGTGGCTCACGCCTGTAATTTCAGAACTTTGGGAGGCTGAGGTGGGTGGATCAGTTGAGGCCAGGAGTTCAGGACCAGCCTGATCAACATGGTGAACCCCCATCTCTACTAAGAATTTTTTTTATAAAAAAATAGCTGGGCGTGGTGGCGCGTGCCTGTAATCCCAGCTACTGAGGAGTCTGAGGCAGAATTGCTTGAACCCAGGAAGTGGAGGTTACAGTGAGCCAAGATTGCACCATTGCACTCCAGCCTGGGCGACAGAGCAAGACTCTGTCAAAAAAAA